ATTATATTAAGATAATTAATCCTAATTATCTCCATAATATTCTTTTTATTAATTATCCTTCCTATTTTTCGTATCTAGAAAGAATACGGAATAATTAATTTAATATAGCTTTCAAAGCTATTCATTCCCAACAGAATTCGTACAGGGTCTTCATCGGGGGACGATTGTGCGTAGTGGTCGTCGAGTTCTTTCCGTTGGCTTATGGCAACACAAGTTGCAGTCTGCTTTCTCCAGTAGCTTGCCACTGGCGGATCCAGGGGGTGGCCACCCCAGGCCCCGGCCCAGCCCTCCTCTGGATCCGTAGTTACTATAGTCCTTATGAAATTTTTGATTTTAGATATTCGACCCAATGTTATTCTATGATAAGATTGGGTTTAACTAGAAAAATTATCAAGTTGAACATATTCAAATCACTATTTTAAATTTAGCCTAGAAATTTTAGCCCCAAAGATTATGCGTCTTAAAAAAATAATGAAACCTAAAATTCTAAAAAGTTTAAAACGTAAAAGACAAACAAATATGAGGTTTGTTCCCTTACAAATTTACTAAAGCAGCTGGTGTGCAGGGATGGACACACAATGCAAATTGATTAGTAGATTGATTTATCTAGTGTTGATGTTGCTCGTTTCAACAGCTACTACGAAGAGAACCTTTTTAACAATGAAACATGTGAGAACTGATTTGCTCAACAAAATGAGCGATGAATTTCTCGCCGATTGCTCAAGTATTGAATTTGAAACAGTGAATACTATTGTTATGGATGTAGACTTCATTATTGATGCATTCCCTAAATTAAAATACTGTCGTGTACAATTTAAATTGCAAAAAATTATAATCATTATATTTTTTTACGGTTCTAATTTTCTAATGAAATGCGGCCCAGTGCTCTTCTGTGTTCTGGATCCGCCACTGTAGCTTGCTCTTGCTATTGGTCAAGCCCCTGGCGGCTCCTCCGCCGCCATCATACAAAGTGACAAAGCCTAGGCCTCACTATAGTCTCTTGCGTGAATTATTAATACAACATAGGTTTAGTCTTAATGAGGTATAACGTCATTATAAAAAAAAATTCCTATTATTTTCACTTTTGTTCGGAAATTTTTTAATGATATAGGCGTCAAGCTTTGTTAAAGTTTAGTGTTTTCCTTTTGAACATTGGCTAGTTACGAAACATGACTAGTTACAAACATGACTTGAAAATGTGAATTATTAATAAATATGTTGTAAATCAATGATAATGCTATTCAAATCGTTAATAATGATGCGACATAATTTTAATAAATATGTTGTAAATCAATGATAATGTTATTCAAACCGTTAATAATGATTCAACATAATCTTTGATAATATATTCATTAGTTTGATGAAAAAAAATGTAAATCGTTAACAATTGATCTTAAAACGTTAATAATGCAATCGTAAAACATTGATAAGTGTTTTGAATTTGTTAATAATGACGGGGTATATCAATGATAAGTATTTTGATTGTATTTTTTTATTGTATTTTCAACGAAACACAAATTAGTTATTAATAATTTGGAGTGATGTAATCAACGTTTCATTACTTTTTTTTATGTTGGTGATTTTAAAAGAAACGAACTCATTTATTTATATTGAATTGTCAATGTAGTAATAACATATATTTGTTTGGATTTTTTCTTTGTGTAGGTTAACAACATGGCGGAAACTAAGAATACATCACATAATATTGTTCCGCAACCTGCCAAAGAGGAAGCAACCAGAAGCATACGAGTTATGAATAATATTACTGATTATGTACTTATTCGAAAAAACGTATTTACTAGTAATTTTGAATCGATTTTAGTGTTGTTTAACCATTATCACTTACGGGATATGGGGTTTTGAGTTGGATGTTCGAGCAAGTGTAGCCTTCAGTGCTCTACGATCTTCGTTCTATTCTACGACTAATTGTGCTACTTGAAATTTCAGTCAGAAGAGTAAGTATCTTAGTCTTTCTAAGTGATTGTTTCTATTGAAACTCGGGTTCTACGAGGGCAAATGCAACGCGACCGACGTGGAGTCCACGATCTGCAGCGTGGTGTGTGAGAAGTACTAGGGGTGAACATATCAACCCGTAAACCCATCCAACCCGTCAATCCAAACTGACCCTCCCATAAAATCGTTGAGCTACAAAATATATGGTTGGGTCCGGATTCCCTCCGATATTTCTTCCAGTCGAGCCTTGCAACTCCTCAGTTATCCTGATTATCAACAACGACTAGAATCATTATTAACGTTTTCAAATTTCAAGTTAATTTTATTAATATAGAAAATAATGTTGAGGCTATTAACATTTATGAAGGAATTATCAATTTTATGCACCATTATCAAATTGGATGGAATAAATTTTGTATGATATACAAATGAATTATTATAGAGAATCATTTCAAACCATATTGCAAATTTGCAAGTCAGCTTTATTAAGGTATTTAGAAAGCAATATTGGTTGTTTTATTGTTATCAAAGATTTTGAAAAAATTATTAATGTTATGAAAGAATTGTTAATAAAAATGTTGCAAAGCAGTGAAAAATGTTATTCGATCATTACTAATTATGCGATATAATTTTAATAATTTCTTCATAAGTGTTGACGACGAAAGTGTAAATCTGTAATAATTGATCCAAAGTTGTTAATAATGTAATTGTAAAGCATTGATAAGTATATTGAAATGATTAATAATGATGGAGTAAATCAATAATAATTCATATCATAAACATTAATAATATCATTGAAAACATTAATAACGTGGAAGTCGCTACAAGTAGGGGGTGTGAGATTTTTTATTTGGAATTTCCATTTTTAAATTCTTAAATATTAAATATGGATTCCAATTTAAAATTTATAAGTTTAAAATTTCAATAAATATTATATAGTAATATTTAATTAAATAGTTCCGAATTTTCATTTAGTTATGAGTTTAGGAAAGAGAAAAATTGTTTTAATTATTAATGACATTAATTATTTTCTGATAATACCCCATTTACCCTTAACAACCTATTAACTACTTACCTTCCATAAACTAACTAAATTCCTATAAGCCAATAGGAATGATTTAAGCATATGCTTAAACTTTAGGCTTAAGCACCGGATCCAACCCGCAATCTCGGTCACTTAAATTAGTTAAATGGTTCAAGTTTGGTCACTCTCCGTCCAACTCTATTAAATTTATCTGATATGACAGTCAACCATCAAAGTTGACCGTTAACTCAGTGACGTGGCAGTTAAAAAATAATAAATAAATTGAATTTTAACCCAAAAACAAATCCATACAATAATACTCAAACGGTCAAACCTAGTAAACAATTTATTATTCAAAACTTTCAGCCTAGGCATGTCAAAGAGAAAAGAAAAATATTTTTAGCAGCACACCAACTAATTAATAATTAGATGGCAAGATCCAATCGTGGAAATTAAAATCTGAACGATTGCAAGCAAGTAGCTCACAATTAAGACCAAATATCTCCTTCCTGTCATAAACACAATTCCTTTCGCACTCGGGATGATCTTTGACATATATGTATACAGATTTGTACGGATCGTAGAATAGAGCGTACCCACCTATGTCTCTTACCTCATTCCACCTCTGCTCATCTTCAAGAATCTCCCTTATAGGTTTTGATCACGAGCATCAGCTCTCCCTCTGGATTTATTGCCAGGCGGTAGCTGATTCCAAATCGGCGAAACAGAGCATCAGAATTCGCAGGACGTAAAAACAACGAAAGCATGGGTAGTTGGTCAAGAAGATCACAGGCGAAAACGCTTCCGTCGAGTGGGTTTAACACGTAAAGAATATTTTCCCGGTAAAGGACAATCCTCAACTTGCCCAAATTAAATGGTTGGCCCTCTAAGGGAGCGATGAACGACCACAGTTGTTGATTAGCACCTCCACCGATTTTGCAGAAAGCTAGTTTGTCGGGAAAAGATTGACCGTTAACAGTCAAATGGTTGGCCCAAAGGTCATTCCGAACAAAGTCAACCAAGCAGTAGCTGCGCTCTTCGCCTACTGCGCGTCGTTGCCTCGTTGGGGTCGGCTGCACGTCTTCGCCTACTGTGCGTTGACGGAGTTGGAGGAAGGGGCGGGGTCGAGGGTTGAGGAAGTGCAGGTGATTATGGTCGGGGAGCGGCGGCAACGGGCGGAGCTAGGGATGGGAATTGGGAGCATGAGCTGGTTTGGTTGCGGGGGAAGGGATGTAATGGCGGAGGAAGCGCCTCTTTTCAATTTGTAATTATAATTTTTTTGTTTTATTTATTTTACTTTATTGTGAAAATGAGTTGAAAATGGTAGAAAATTAAAATTTATTTTATTTATTATTTTTTAATTGTCATATTACTGAGTTGACGGTCAACTTTGAGGGTGGACAGCCACATCAGACAAATTTAACGGAGTTGGACGGAGAGTGATCAAACTCGAACTATTTAACTAATTTGCGTGACCAATATTGGATTTAAACATTTCCAGTGACCAAACATGAATGTTTTTTGTAATCTCAGTGACTAACCATGCAATTAACCCATATATGCACAATCCAAATGCTCTAATGCACTCTACCCGGATTTAACCTTTTAAGGTCCATTCATCATACTGTTGTAAGTGTTCACTTAGACGAGTATTTTACATTCGTCTATATTGTCTCAACCCATATAAGGGATTTTCTTAGTCTATCGATATATGTTCTCGAGAACTTTACTTGTTACTTCAGGTAAATTAATTCTTCTGTGAGTTTCAAAAAAAAAATATATATATATATATATATATATATATATATATGGCGTCGTCTTCAGTACACCCACTTTTTTGGGTGCACTAAACGCACTCACTTTCCTGTTTAATCGTATTCATTGATTACATCTAACGGTTACGATAATTTAATTTATTTATAATTAATTATTAACTAATAAAATATATTATATTTATTAAAGTAATTTAAACTTATTAATAATTGCAATTCGACCCCAAACCCTCTTCTTCCACGATTGTTTTCCCCTCTTACCCGTCAATACTTTTTCCAGTGGCCTGCATCGTCGTCCTCCACCACCAGCGCACCAATCCGGCCATCGCTTGCATCAAAGGGTCGCCCTGCAGACAGTAATACCACCACAACTACTTCTCCGATTTTAACTCTTTCCCCATAGAATTCTCCGCCAATAACTTCTAGTCTGAATTGCCGGCAGCCTCTCAACATCAACAACAGCAACAACGACGCTATGGGTTTCCGGTGCTTCAGCAATTGAGGCCCAGCCTATGAAAGTATAAATACAGGGAACAATAGTAATAATCCTCAATTCAAACTGTGGAGAGAGTTCCGTTTGCGAACTCGGTCTAGTCGGCACCGCCGATAACCTTACCTTTGGCGACCTCAAATGCTACCTCAGCCACTCCGTCTCAATATTTATATCACGAAAACCATCGTCGGAATTCTCTTTCCCACCCAATTTCGTATCGCTTTCTCTCCTCCTTTCTCTTACGCAAATACGGCTCAAGATAGGGTGCATAACTCATGGTTATGCACCTATCAATAACTAAATCTGGACCCTTCATTTAGAAAATCCAGATCTAAGGATGGAGAATTAAAGACTATTTTTATTTTCACTAGCTTTCTTAATTGACTCATATCTTTTTCGTTTTAACTCGAATTTTAATTTTTTTTGCACAGATGGAACGAGTTCACCGTGCTCTACAAAATGAGATCAATTTTCAATATTTTTTTAGGAAAAAAAAATTCTGGCCTCTCGGTACCAACTGCATACCATATGGTATCTTCTTCGTTTTTAATTCGTTTTTGAAAACGTTTGCACAGCAGGGATGAGTTCATCATGATCTACTACTGGATCTACAAATTTCTGGGTGAACAAATTACAGGATCAAAAAATACCACACAATACCATACAATACCACCCTGGTACGGGGTGGTATTGTACGGTATCTTCTTCGTTTTTAATTCGTTTTTGAAAACGTTTGCACAGAAGGGACGAGTTCATCATGATCTATTGGATCTATAAATTTCTGGGTGAACAAATTACAAGACCAAAAAATACCACACAATACCATACAATACCACCCTGGTACGGGGTGGTATTGTGTGGTATACAATGTTAAAAGTCGTAAATTACAATTAATATACTTCTATTATCATGTATTCAACCATCCTATAGTATTGGTTTGTTCATACCACCATGGTACGTTTTTCAAAACATAGGTATGCTTTTATTTCAATACTAGTCAATACCATATGGTATAGGCTGGTAAAAAATGGCTCAATTTTTTTTGTTCGAAAAATATATTAAAGTGGATATCATTTTGAAGAGCACAATTAATCTGATCTAACTGTGCAAAAAAAATTAAATTTCGACTTAAAATGAGCGAGAAATCGTCCGTCAAAGATTAAAAAGGGAAAAATTAAAGGCTTTCCATGAGAGAGGATGATGATGTCATGCTGATGTGGACGGGTTACTCATGGTTACTCACCATAAGGTTACTGACCTGATCCATTCCCCGCAAATACTATTGCTGATAATTCTTTTTCTCCTCACATCCGGCTTTCTACCGCAGCCATGCGGCTCATCAGGAGAAGATATGATGATTGAGCTCAAATTTGGATTCCCCTTTTTTATTGATCTTGTTCTCATGTCTCTTTTTTGTGCTTTCTTTCGGAGCTGATAGCTGGCGCTATTAATCAGAAGGAAGATGCCCTGGTTGTTGATTGCCCTGAGGAATTTGGGTGATGAGAAATTCAGTTCGAGGAAATTGACCTATCTGATTTATCTTCTTTTAGGGTTCGATGTGGGAGATGGTGTTGGGGACGAAGTAGCAGATGTTGTCAGGGAATCGGAATTGGGTTTTGCTCGGAGAAGGAGGAGGTGATAAAGAATGGGAATAACGTTCAGTGAAGTGGAAAGGGCTCAACGTTTGAGGGACTTTGAGGTCGTGGCTCTGAGTGAGAAGAAGCCGACGAGGAGGAAACTCGACAGCTGTAGCGGGGAACATCGGACCTTCTTGCTCCTCGACCTCGTCGGCTCCAACATTGAATTGTACAAGGGGTGTATTGTCGGAGGCACCAAGAAGTTTGTTCTCAGTTGTCAGAGTTGGCGTCACCGTCACACTGAGATTGCGTGGCCGCCGCCGGCCAATCGATCTTCTTTTTGGGTGAGAGCGGCACTATTTGTTGTGATGGGAAGCAATCTGAATTTTCAAGAGAGTTAATGTTAGATCCTAAATTGCAATTATCAATAATTATAAATTATTTTAATAAATTGTATATTTATTAGTTAATAATTTATTGAAAATTTATCAATTATTTTCAACCGCAAGATATATCGAACGATCAAGATTAAACCAGAAAGTGAGTGCATTCGGTACACCCAAAAAAGTGGGTGCACCGAAGTGGCCACCATATATATATATATATATATATATATATATATATATATATATATATATATATATATATATATATATATATATATATATATATATATGGGGAGTTCTACGGCACCCAGGGTGAAATCCGGGGTACCGCATACCTTGAGTAAGAAAACACTATCCAGAACTTGAATTGACTGTTCTTTCGGACATGATACTATACCCTACCCATTAAAGATCAAAATCTAGGTCTTAATTCTCTAAATCTTATACCCCAAGATCAATTTAATTAGAAACAATAATCGACGGTTATGATTCGTCCAAATATAGGCAAAAAATCAATGCACCATCTAAGGGTTTATAGTTTATGATTTAGATAATTAGGACTTAGGGTTCACTCATTAAGGGTTAGGATATAGTATCATGCCCAAAAATCCTGTTAATTCGAGGTCTAGATAACATTTTCATACTTAAGGTATGCGGTACCCCAGATTTCACCCGAGGTACCGTAGAAGGCACCATACATATATATATATATATATATTTTTCAAACATTGAATTAAATATTTATTTGAAAAAGTAGTTGCATCCACCACAAAGGAGCATGTCTCCTCTCAAACAATGATAGGCCTCTTCAAGAAACCCATTGCAAAACATTATGCTATATCTCTCACAATTTCATATTTTCCAATAGCACAAGAATTTGTTTGTATCCCGCTAGTTTTATCCTTTCAGTTGTAAAGACTTATAGTCCTTAAACTTTATGCTCCATGAGCAAGTTTCTTGATTTCTTTCTATATTGGCCAACAACATCATCATTTGCATGAAGCAATAGAGTTTTACTCTTGATCCTCACTTGTATATATCATATTCAGTACTGAAGTCAACAAATTTTGTTGACAATGACTTTATTATGGTTACAGTATTATAGTCCAATATGTTTTTGAGATCTCTTCACTTTCACAACTTTCATACACATGTGTTCGTCTAGAACTAAAATCTTACTTTATTTCAACTCATCTCTTTGCCTAGTTGTTTTATCTCTCCTCCTTAATGTTGGAAAAGTAATCCATCAAAACAATAATTTCGCAAACAAATTTCCCATTTGGGATTCATACCCAACACAAATTCTCAATCTCCATCGAGAATCAACTTAAGATACAATGGTGGAGCAATCTGGATGTATGTGACACACCCTGATATTCTCATATGGAAAATGCATGTTAGGTTTCTGACTAAAACCATTTGTAAAAGGGGGAAAACTTATGATAACTTGTTGGTTAGATGCGAACTAATACTATCACTTGCCAGCTAGCATGTCCTCGACAAGCAAAGTGATGTTTGATTGGATAACCATCAAAATGTATCTATAGTGAGGCAACCTATCTCGCAAACATCGGGTTGCGATTGGATAAAATAGATGTGATCATCCATTTGATGCATCAACCCATAAAATTTACAAATGATCCACATGATTGATGTATTGTTCTGCATTCACGTTCATAAAATCTCAAGAGATTTGCCAACTATTTTACAAGCGATAATTAATTGTTGGATTCTCGTTGAGAACAAGCATGGGATAATAACTTCTTTAGTTGAAGAATTCTTTTACTTCTCATATGATATTCTCATGAATTCTCAAAGAATTTTTTTCACATCATGATCTGGGGTGGTCTAACCGGACCAACCAAATTACCAAGTTATCAAATCTTGTAAACTTCTGGTTTATATTTTTTATATGTACTGATAGTACAAATATACAAGTAGTACATATTTGTGATGCAAATATTAGTTTCTCACTATTTTCATGGTAAGATATTTATTTTGCGGATATCCTTTTAATTGGGTAATGCATCATCACTAGGTAGTATGGTTCCTTCAGGTCACAAAATATTAGCTCTTTTAGAGCTTTACCATATTTCGCCCTTCCGGGAACTTATGATTTGATGCATTCTTAGTAAACACATATTCATAGTGAATACCATCACAAATTGTTATCACAAGTACATAATTTAGTTACTTCAAGTAACCAAACATAAGCTCTTCGGATGCTTTTTCTTATTTATGTACCCTGCCATATAGTTTATATGGAATTTTTCTAACACTCGTACTTTACAAAAACATACTAAAAATAATAAATTAGAATATTTCAAACTTAAGACAAAAATGACGAATTTATCAAATTAATTGTTCTAGATAAAAGTTATCAAATTAAATTATGCATGAAAAATAACGTCACAATAAAACATAAGAGAAAATAAGAATCATAATACTACAATTGTGAAAATTAAATAAGCTTTATTTGGAGCAATACCATTACTAACTAGGTGATTTTAAATTTATATATGCGTTTCATTTTACATTTCAATGTACAATGAGTACATTATGTTATCATGACTTTGATAATGCAATTGTTGTGTCATCCTTATTTATAATTCTCATTTTTCTCTCTTTTCTCACTTCTGATGAAAAGATCCAAACAATATATATGACATATATATAATTATGTTTATAGCTCTATTCACTTCGGGGAATAGATTGTTTCATTCACTTCTGGAAATGAAAATTTCTCAAGTGCAATATCATTTCCATATTTAATGGAGAATATACCAACTAATAATACAAAAAATATTTTTCATAATATTGATATTGCACAGGAATTTATTTGTCCCTTTGATTCTTGGTAGAATAAGGTTTTTTTGCGTACAATAGGTACGAGACAAATGCATTTTCCATTACAATGGTAACCTACATAACCAATATTCTTGTTACCATCTCCACTCCTTTCTTTGCCCTTGAATTCTTCAATCCCCATGGGCTCTTGGAACTTGAATTTTCTACATATCAATGTAGGAATGATAAGAATAGGATAACACGGAGAACTAAGATATTAACTCTTCACTTATATTATTTTTCTTGTTATTGCTACTACATGAGCAAATTTTAATTTGCGATAATGTTAAAACACAAATTTAATTTTAAGGAATCGATATATGTGTTGTAAGACATAGAAACATATAAATCAAATCACACAACCCAAAATTTTAATCCAAATAGATGTGCGTGATAAAATATCAATGGATGGTCTACTACGAGAAAAGAGTATCATCCATCTTAATATATTGGAAAGAGATCAACACAAATAAGATAACAAGATATGAAAGAAGATGAAGATTTGCATACCTTGACCATATTGTGATCTTACTCCAATATACTAGATTGTGTAGAGAGACAAGGACCAACCATGATACTAACAGAGCTTCCTGCTGATAACGTGTTATAAAACTAATGAAAAATATAAACAACTACAAGATAGTATTAGAGTGGAAAGACAAAAAATCAGAGAGGAGGAAGAGAGCTTTCTTATTAATTCTTCACTTTTGATACAATCGTGTGCTATATTTATAGGCACATCTTGGTAACCACTACATCCTTATATCAATGAGAGATATAACTCCCAGGTGAGCATCTAATGTGGTAATGACAATGGTCATCCATATATCCATATTACATAATAAGTACAAATATATCGTTTGATGGGCCTCATAAACAAGACCCAAGCATCAAATTCCCTTACTATTTATTAGCCCAAGTTATCTGTATGATACGAACCTTATTAATCAAAGACACACACCCAAATTTCTCTCTATAACACAAGCCTTCCCATCCAGATTCCAGAGTTATGGTACCCAATTCACCGACTCGTCCAAATTCGCGAATTATATTTCGCTGGAGCACAACTTATATTTGGATATGCTGTCGTCATTTAGTGGGGTGGACAAGAGTTGGTGGATTTGATCGGCGTCTGGCTGGGATTGTGCATTTTGGTGTGGACTGAGACTTGCAAGTGTAACGTAATCCATGACACCCTTAAACACAATCCGTAATGGAAAATTCTAGCAAAGTCTGCGATGTAAGAATTTGAATGGTAAATACACATTATCGGTTTAAATATCTTGGGCTATTAATAAATAAATATATAAATAATTTTAATGGTATTATAAAAAAATGCCTAATACTAGAAAAGGACCCATAGTTTGGACTTTCCGTCACTTGTACCCCAACGTTTGTATCGCGTTAGTTATGTCTCAATGTTTAGTCTCCGTTAATTTTGACCGTTAGTAGTCAAAAGTCATAATTTTGACTGTTGATATGGCACATGACTTCAACATCCTTAGCTAAGATGGCATCCACGTTACTTCCTAATTAAAATTAAAAAAATTTAAATTAAAAAATACTAATTTTTTTCTATCTTCTTCTCTTCATACGAAATCTAATCCCTATCCCCCTCTTCCCCTCCCACCCACTACCTTCTTCCTCCGCATTTTCCCACCTGGGGGTGTTTGTAATGGCTGCTGCTCACTCTATGGGATTCACCCACTCTCTTTCTCTCAAGAAATAAAGGAAAATCCATGAACTGGGGAATCGAAATCGTGTCTCCATCTTCCTTCCTCCACAACTCCAGCTGCCTTTTCTAGAAAGTCGATGGACGGTAAAAGAGAGCAAGCGGTTCGAGAATGCTCTAACCCTCTACGAGAAAGACACCCCCGATTGATGGGCCAAAATTGCCGCCATAGATTGACATTTTGGGTCGTCGAAATGGGGAAGGGAATTGGGGATCCTCGGCGCTTTGGGAGTTGGCGTCATCGGTGTCGTTGTAAGGTAGGGGTCCATGTCTCAATCGAAGTAACTGAAACGTACGACTGCCGCGGGTTTGATTAGAGATTGGAGGAAGACTAGCAGGGAACGGGGAAATAAACCATCGACCTGATCTAGAAACCCTAATCCAGATCACAGAGATTGGAACGCAACCGACACAGAAGAAGGGAGCTTCT